AAAAACTACAAACCTCTTCTGAAATCTTAAGTGATTTGTGAGGTAATTGTGACTCTGTCTGCAAAAGGTGTGTTTAAAAAAGTTTGGTTAAAGTCCTCTTACTGGATTATCAACTGACTTCTTACTCCCTGGCATTTTATAGTTTACACATCTTTACAAATATTGTGGCCCAGTGTCTCTGGGATGTAGTGGTTGTTAATATACCAGTGGAGGTAATGGAATTGTGTTTGGGGACGACTGTGGTTCATAGTTAAATGTCTCTCAAAGAGCTGGCTATGGATTTGTACTCATGCCTTGTTTCCAAGTCTACTGTCTTTCCTTACTGGGAAATGCTATTTAAAACTTTGCCGCAGAAGTCTTTGTTAAGCACAAAATAATTTCATATTTTAAAACATGAAGTTTATGAATTTATGTTTTGAAAAGAATCTTTATTAAAAGTGGCACATATCTTTACCTTTCCTTTTATCTTTTTTCAGTGTTATTGCCATTGAACAATGCCTTCAAGTTTGGGTTATTTTTAGAGATCATTTATTTTACACTCTTTTTGAAGTTTTCCCCTTAGCACTTCCTTTAACCATAGCCATTTCTATTTTTATGATCTAGTTGGTCCCTACTGAGAACTGTCTAGTAAGTAATGTCATAAGTAATGGAATAGTTCCAGGAATCATGCCACATATTCTTGATTTGGGCATGAATGCTCTGTAAACTTTAGCACATACCATGAACCTAAATGTGTTAAGTACTTTGCCTACCCACGCTTGCATCAGTGCTGGCAAACAGGGCAGGTAAGTTTAAAAAGAAAAGAAAAATACCAGAAACAAAATTTAAAACTAATGGCAAGCTGGTGGAGTATATTTTACTTATGTCATAGACAAAAGGGTAAACCTCTTAAGATATAAAGAGCTCTTAGAAATTAATAATTTAAAAAGAGGGCCGGGGATTTAGCTCAGTGGTTCTGCAGCCTACCTTACAAGTGCAAGGACCCGAGTTCGATCCCCAGCACCAAAAAAAAAAATAATAATAATTTAAAAAGAAAAAAGGTGAACAATAAAAATAATAATATTAAAAAGACATTTCATAGAAAATATGAATTGTCTTTAAACATATGAAAAATGCATAAATTCATAATAAGAGAAACACTTTAAAATCACTGTGGGATTGATGTTACACTCCATTGTAAGACTGAAAAACCAAATATTCTCTTATTTTACATACAACAGTATAAATTGGAACAATCCTTGTGGGGGTTATTAAAATTACAAATACATTTGCCCTCTGACATAGTATATTTGTTCCTGGGTCTGCAATAATGATGTACCACAACATAAATGGCTTGAAATAACAGAAATTTATTGTCTCACAGATCTAGAAGTTACAAATCTGAAACCAAGGTTATCAACAGGGTCCTGCTCTCTCTGTAACCTGGAAGCAACCTTTCTGTTCCTCTTCTGTCTGCTAATTTATTACCAGTCCTTGGCTTGCAGTCACATTATCTATAGTCTCTGCCTTTGTCTTCACAGTGTGTTCTCCCTGTGAGTCTCTGTGTCTTTATATGACATCTTATAAGGACACGAGCCATATTGGATTAGGAACTTACCCTGTCCCAGTATGACCTCATCTTAATTACATCTATAATGACCATGTTTCCATACCAAGAATTAGGAATGCAAAATATCTTGTATGGATGGAGACAAAATTTAACTCATAATGCCCAACTCATAACCCACTTTAGAGTCTTTTCTACAGAACCCAAGTCTTCAAGTAATGCTTGATTAAATACAATACAGGCTATTCCTTTACAGTGTAGTACTATGTTGCTACAAGAGAATGGAGAAATTATAAGTTGACATGGAAAAACTTTCAAGTCAGGAAAAGAATGTAGCAGGCTACCTTTTGAGTAAGAAAAAGGAAAAATGATATATATTCACAATTATCTATATTTGCATAAAGAAACTCTGGAAGAAGACAAGAAATTCATAAAAGTGATTATAGGAGACCAGGATGGGGCAGATGGGAACAGGGATGCAACTTAAGACTTTTTATTGCTTTCTTATGTTGCTTTGATTGCTGAGTCATGTGAACAGGTTACCTATCTTAAGTAATGATAACACTGAAAGATTGTCATCCTTTTGAATTTAATTAACGTTCTAATTTTTATGAAATTAGCAGGGAATCAATATATTGTTCTTGTAATCAACTCCCTATTTTCTTCTTTTCTTTTTCTAAAGCTTTGCTTTTTTTATTAGTTGAAATTTTATTACCAATATCACTTGATTCAGCTATCACAAACCTGCCCTTAGTAAGATCTTTATGACTTATTTCTCATTAGTAAAGAAATCTGATCATCTCCCTGTTCCAGAATCTTTGGTCAAACATATGAACAAAAGCCAATCAATCAGGCAGGCACTATTATTCTTTATGGAGAGAGTGTCATTTAATGAGCTTACAGCAATTTACATTAAAATGGTCTTAGAAGCAGGAGACCAGATAATGAGTCTTCATTTTATCTATCTAAAAATTTAAAATAGGTATTATGAAAGAAATGTTCAAAGCCTTCAATAGGATATTATCTTTAATTTCTTTTTCAAGAATTTTCTTAGCAATTTACCAAGATCAAAATGATTTTAAAAATTAAATAATTATCTTTTTTTCCTCATCTCTTCTCTTCTTCCCCTCAAAAGGTTTTTATTTTTCTCTAAGCCCCACAAGGGTTTAGAAATTTAGATTCAGGAATTAGGAATATGTTGGGATCTGGTTATCAAACTTTCTATTACATCTTTTATGTCCCCTCTTCATCCTACTACTACCTTACGTTTTATTTTCACAACTAGAAGGATTAAACGAAAAAGAAATATGTCAGCCTTTTGCTAATTAGTAGTTTTAGTAAAAGAAATAAACACAGGGATAGTTGATAATATGGCTAAAGGGGATATTATTTATGCATGGATTTTAGTTAGACAATAATACTGGCTCCTTTTATGATGGGTAATCCATAGTGAACAGTTTATCACATGACCTCTTTTCCATAAGCTGCTATTTATTCACTCACAATATAGATATATTTTTATACCTAAAGCTTCTTTGTGTAAAAGGCCATTTTGTGAGGGGCCAGGGATTTAGCTCAGTGGTTCCGCTTCCTGCCTTACAAGTGCAAGGTCCTGAGTTTGATCCCCGGTGCCAAAAAAAAGGGCCATTTTGTGTTACAAAGGTGTTGTGATACTAGCTCTAAGAAATGTACAAGCTAAACAGGGAGAATGAGTAATACACTTAACCAAGAAATAATACAGTATATGCACCAAGAAATAATACAGGCCAAAGAATTAGAGGTGGAAAAAAGTTGTCAAAACAACACAGAGGCAGAGTTGCGGTATGGGAAAATCATATTTAAATTCCAACTAAACTAATATCAGTTACAAAGGAAAATTTGAACTCTAAGAGCCTTAAGTCCAAAGGAAAGTTGAGGAGCAGAAGATAGAAGGATGGAAAAAAAAAAAGGAAATCTATATACCAGCAGGGAAAGTGGAAGGGTCTTTAGTGTACTCCTTAATTAAATCAAGGTGGACTGCCAGTTCTGGAAGAAAAGTTCCTCCATTCCCTGTAAACACTCAGGAGTAGACCTCCAGTGAACCATTCCCAACTCCTCTTGGTAATAGAAACTCATCAGCCAGCCAGACTTGGACCATCCTGTCTGGACTATGCCCACATCCTTTGTTCATTCAATACTGTGGCACCTTGAGTGACTTTTGCAGTTGGGAGTTTGTCCCCTCCATGCTAAAAATTCTTCAACTGTTTCCCTTTGTTATTAGGTTTAATTCTGTTTAATTACTTAATTTCTTCTGACCTACTCCTGAACTTCTGCTTGATAACATGTTGTATTACTGTTAAAGTTTTATATTTTTATGTATTTGGTAGACTCCCTTTCTGGAGTATAAGCTCTTAGAAAAGAGGAACCATCTCAGCTTTTACACATAATGGGCTTAAAACATATCTTGTAAATGGACGAAGATACTAAGAAAGCTATTCATCAAGAAAGCTACACACTGTAGTGGATTGATTTCAATCCCACTGCAGTCCCTTCCAAGTCTTCTTACATGTGGATCTTGATGTATTACAAGCACTTTAAATAAGAAAGATACTTTTTCCCCGTATGCAGAAAGGCCAAGCTTTTATAGTAAGCTGGGCAAAATTCTCAAGGACCCAGGCTTTTTCTATCTTTTTTGCTGGGCAACCATAAACCCTGCTAAAAATCAAGTGCTTTATTACTAAGGAAAAAGAGAACAGATATCTGGGCAATTCGCAGTCTCACAATATTTTATAAAGATACCATATGGATTAAATATAGATGTAGACTCCGCACAGTGCCTAGGGACACATAGCACTGGCTGTTATTCTCTCATTCACCTTAATGTAATACATGACTTGCCTGAGAACCCTTCCCTGTTTTTTGGGCTTTTTTCAGGTCTTCATTTCTTTGTTTCTTTCTTCATTCTTAGGTCAAATTACTTGGCCTACTATGTTTGTGCATGGTTTATCTTTGTCTTAAGTATGGGAAGCCCAGCTCTTTCTCTTTTTTTCTATTTTTGGTACCAGAGATCGAACTCGGGTCTTTGTGCTTGTGCAGCAGGCGACAAAACCTCTGAGCTAAATCCCTGGCCCCTCTCTTTCTTTTTTGATAGTTCACAGAGTAGTATGCTTCTGCCATCCCCCTAGGGCTTGGCTCTCCTTAGCCTCTTCATGATTATTGTTTTCATAAAGTTAGCTTCTTCACAGCTAAAAGTCAACTCTGTCAGTTAAACAGAGCCATGGCTCTGTTTTCCTCTCCTTGTAGATGGTACCATTTGAGTGTGAATCTGAATTTGTTTAAGGCTGTACCTTGAAGTATAAGAGATGGGTGGTAGAGGATGAGGAAGGAGAGGAGAGGGGACTTCAGTGAAAATGAGGTAGGACAGTGAATGTGCATTTATCCTTGACAGTTTGTATTTTCTTTATTTTCTGTGAAGGCAATTGACCGAGGTCTGGGCTTTGAACTCGTCTATAGCCCTGCTATCAAAGACTCCACAATGAGAAGGTACACAATTTCCAATGCCCTCAATTTGATGCAGATCTGCAAAGGAAAGGTATAATTCCATAATTTTAGGATGCTTTTCACATCTAGCAGTTTATTATTGCTAATACTCTGCAATTATCAAACTGATTCCCCTTTTTTAAAGCAGGAAATTCTTTTTTTTTTTTTTTTTTTGTTTTGTGGTACCAGGTATCGAACTCAGGATCTTGTGCTTGCAAGGCAGGCGCGGTGCCACTGAGCTAAATCCCCGGCTAAAGCAGGAAATTCTTAAGGCACCGAAATAAATTCTCCCATTTCAGTGAGCTCTTCAAGTTTTAAAGAGAGAGAAAAATATCTTGGGAGGAATAATATAAGGGAGGGAAAAATATGTTGAAAGGCTATTTTTTGACAAGGAATTTGCAGTTTACCTCTGAAAAGTAATAGTTGTTTGTTAACGAGTTGAATTAATTAATGACCTTTTAAACTAGTTTTAAAGTAAATTCATCTTTAATAAGATTTGTTTGGAATGTCTATTCTGTTTCTTTTTAGAAGCTGCCTTCAGTTTGACATAAGGTCTCTAAATTTTTAACTTTAATTATTTACTTTATCTTTAAAAGAAGTTGATATTTGAGCCATAAATGTTAAAATGTGATTACTGGTTATTTGTATTATAAGACTCTTCTTTTTTTTTTTTTTTGGCATTTGTAGAAGATTAACATTGATCACTTTCTGTTTTATAGAATGTAATTATATCTAGTGCTGCAGAAAGGGTAAGTCTAGCATAAAGAATTTTAGTTTTGCTTTTCTAGTTATAAAACTTTGCTAAATTCCTAGGGAAGAAATTAAAATAGTAACTTAATGAATTTCATGTTTTCTATTAACTGCATTTATTCATAGTAATTGCTGAAGAGTGGAATTTATGTCCATTTATTCTGTGCTTTAAGTTTTATGTAGTTTTTCCTTTATAATGTTGCAAAAAGTTTCAAGCTTCATTTATATTTTAAAAACCTACAAACCTATTAAAATTATTGTTTAAATCTTCAGTTGATTTCTTTTTTGATATGTAAGTGTCCTATAATTTACTGCAAATAAAAATCATTGAAATGCTATGAATAACTTCTCATATCTATTTTTGGGGGTATTTTAGCCTTTGGAAATAAGAGGACCATATGATGTGGCAAACTTGTATCCTTTTCTAAGAAGTTGTTGAAATTTTCTTTTAGAAAATTTGGAATTTGAAGTGGTATTAGAGTTTAATATGATATTTTTCTCAACCTTTTACTGTATGTTTACCAATTAATAGTTTCAGGAACAGATTATATCAAGTTATAGAGAGTTTCCTCTTCCTGTCTTTTGGATTAAGCAATAGATAGGAAATGGGGAACCAGTGATTCTATCTATAAAAGCTTAATGTGTCTCCTTTCAGATGTAGGTTGTAGTTGGGCTAAGTACTGTAGAATGGACTAGACCAGGTGAGCTGGCATTCTCTGTTCTGTTAGTCTCATGCCTTTGGCTGACACTGGGTTGAAACCTTTAATGGTCGCACTAGAGGGCTGCTATTTGGGCTGTCTGAAGTTGATGCCAAGGCTGCAGTGTCCACTAATTGCCGAGCAGCACTTCTCCATGGAGGTGAGCAATTTCTTCCAGTAAATGCTGAATGGTCATGTTAGAGGCCAGTCATTTTTATCAAATGACAGAGCTGTATCTACTTTTCTTACCCTATCTGCAAAGTTCCTTTTAAGATCTTTTTCTCAGCCTATCCCAACCATACCCATTAGTGCTTTCTCATCCTCACTTTAGGCTTGATTTTCTATCTTTCTATGGTTTGTGGAGTGACTGTAGCTTGCATTACAGAAGTGAGTATTGAATGCCACACCTGTGTGCCTCTTCCCACATTTGGACAAGCTTCTATTCTACTCTCCCTTCTTACCCCCTTCTCCAGAGGAGTGCACTTTCCCTGATACATTAGAAACATGTTAAACCATTTATATGGAAAACATAAACAGCAGCCCTGTTTTTTAAAAAACAGCTAATAAAATTTAAACTGTAATTTTTATTTCTGTTTTCACTTTTCCTTGGATATAAATATGCACACTATATTTTTTTATTCACATTTTATTTATGTATATGTGTCTTACCACCTTAATTCCACTACTAGAACGTACTGAATTTGTTACTCATTAAATGATAAAAATAAACTAGAAATTTTGATATGCCAAAACTTTGGGAAATGAAATGAAGTTTTATTAACACATTTTACACTTTTAACCCATCATTGTCTTCATTTTCAGGACTTGTTATAGTGCTTAAGAAGGAACTTAGTTGATAACATCTGGATGGATTTAAATGTCAGAATAGGTTATTACATGTAGGGTTAAGTTGCCATATGAATAAGTTATTGAAAGGTCATATGTTCTGCCTAAATCTTATGATCTGATTTGCATTTTAGAAAACTATTGTATTGGCTTTCCATAAATTAGGTGATTTTTGCTTTTAGTTTCAATATTTTTGAGATTGTTGTAAAGGTATCACAGGAGCCCCAGGAATGATCAAGTAATTAGAATTTTTAGTCAACATTTTTTGAAATTTTGGAATAGCTGTTTCACACTTTGGTAGTACTTCTGTTATTTTTATCTATTTTAAATAAATGTAAGGAATCGTCAAGTTTTTGAATAACAACTGGTATTCTCAAGTAGACTATAAAATGGAAACTAAAATGGAAAAGCAATGTAGGGGGAAATATAAAGTTGAAGTTCTGCTGTCTGACTTCAAAAGACCTAATTGTTCAACATATGATACTTAAAGCCAGGCTTTTCTAGAACCTAAACTAAAAGCAGACTTGGCTACTTTAGGTGGCATTGCCCTTCAGGCAGTGTGTACACTCAGGACAGTGTTAAGTTTATATCTGCTGTTTCAGGGTAGTTATTAACATTTCTGTTTACTGAAAAGTAGGATAAATTATAGTTAGGTAATAAATTATAATTACCCTGGTCTTAGTTGACATTGGGATCAGCATGAGGTAGACAATGGTGTGTTGTGCTTTAAGATTGTTAATTCTACATTAGATTGCGTTAGAAGGGGACTCTCAGGCAAAGAGATTCAAAGTTTCATTATACTCTTAACAGATGAAATCTCAGATAGCATCTGTATCATTCTGAGTGCCATGTTTAAGGACAGCACTGCACCTGAGCACTATTGGTTAGATAGTTATTACACTAGATAGTTAATAGGTTTTTAGAGGTTTAGAAACCTCACCATGAGAGGAGTTGTGCAAAGCAATACAGGAATTGCTACCTGGCAAACAAAATCTTTAGGATACATAGAGCTGGCTCTCAACACTGGGAGGCTTGCCATTGGTAACCAGATTTAGACAGGTTCTCTTTAGTTTCCAGAAACTAATGAATAGCAGTTCTGAGAAGGTTGTGAGGAAAGAGGTTCAAGGTCAGAGCTGTCAAGCCCGTGATAAGGTGGATGTCCTCAAGCAGCCACTGGACCAAAATGGACCTGTTAGGGATGCCTACTTTAACTCCTTGTGAACAAAATAGCACACTTGTAAATAATTCTTTAGAGCTAATTGTATATTTTCCTTAGGCGATAAGCAGACACTTCATACAAATGTAACTTCTTGCTATTACAAAAAATAAATTTATTTTTAAAAGAGTAAGGAAGAGGTACTTTAACTGATAACTATAAAAGTCTTACTGTTCAGTTGCTTTATAATCTGTCAACTTAGATTAAGGAAAAAATATTCACGTAATGAAAATAGAACATTTCTGAGGTGGAACTAATTTTTTTTTAATGTCATACTGGGGATTGAACCCAGAGCTCACTGAGCTATATTCCCTAGGCTTTTTTTTTTTGTCTTTTTTGAAAGACCGTCTCACTAAATTGCTAAGTTCCCCTAGGCTGGGCTAGAACTTGCCACCCTCCTGCCTCAGCTTCAGTAAAATAATTTTGAAACTAATATGTCAAGTGCTGTGCTTTATAATTTATATATTGTTCATTGAACAAACTCATATTTTATTCACTGATTTTTAGACTATTACTCAGAATCAGGCTAATACAAATAATTATACATGCAACACTTCATTTGGTGAAATAGAAATTACTGACATTTTGTATTTTGAGGGTCCTTTCATCTTGATATTTTAAAACCTGAAGTCTGTTTTGTCTTTTGTAAATTTTTTAAAAAAGAACTGACAGGGATTCAATAGACTTATTAGTAAGTTAATCCTGATGTGAAAGTAATGCTCACCTCTTTAGTATTGAGTTTACTTTTACGATGTAAGAAATAATTCTTTTTTTAAATTAATTTTATTGATACATTTTAGGTTTTTCCCCACTCCCTTGCCCTCTTCTTCAACCCCTCCACCCCTCTCTATTAAGAAATATTTCTTAACCAAATTTTTGTTCATCCATTAAAGTTTACCTCCTTTGTAGCTAATGACTCTCTCCTTCTCCAGAGTCCATTCCCGTTTCCTAAGGACAAAGTTTAAATCTTTTCATGACACTGTGACCCTTCCTAAGCTACCCTTTTAGCCTCATTTCCCCCTTATTTTTCATACTTCATAACTTGCCCAGGTTGCTGTTACCCTTCTCTCCTTTGCAAAGAAATACCTTCTTCCCCTTTCTCTATTCATAGTAGTGTTGCTTCTTTAGGATATTTCATGGGTTCATCCAGGCAGTAAGTTTTCCTGGGTGCCTCCATTCCGATTGTTTGCTTTTGATGTGCTTAACACATTGTCTCTTTGGCATCTTTGTAACTCTCTATAACTTACAGTGCTTGGCCTGTTAGGTTTTTAGAAGTTGGCTAAACTGAAGTTGAACTCTGCTGCCAGCCTGATCTGAGCATGTAGTACAAGCCCCATTTCTCTTTGTCCATTGTCAGCAGTATATAAAGGATCAATAAATATGTGATTTTTATTTTATTCATTCACTTAAGAAGCATATATTGTATATCTGTTATAAGCAGGGCCATTGTTGGATATAGACAGTATGGTTGATTGTTCACATGTACATTGATAATCTAGTGAGGGAGACACAGGTACACAGATAAGCACACACTCCCACATCCATTATGGGAACAGTATAATTAACTGCTGGGTTTTTTTCTTGTGATTCATCCATCTTTCTACCATACATAAAGCTGTCACAGGACTAGTGCCTATGACCTGGTTCTGGCCAGATAATACCATAGACAGACCATTAGATGTAGTGCTGCCCGCTGGTTTTAGCCATGAGGTGATCCTTAAAAATGAATTACATGTTAATATACTGCTATTTGTGTATATTGGAGAGAAAGGTAATGATCAGAAGTGGCATCAGCACCCATAGCAGTTAACTATAGTTTTCATTTGCTAGTGTCATCTGCCAAAGCAATATGGTGATACTCGTTACACCATCTCTCTTTAAATTGTGTCTTACCTTCAAACACTGTGGTTTCTCTGTTTTACAGAAACTAGAAAAACTGCTTTTGGAATTGTTTCTACAGTTAAGAAACCTCGACCATCAGAAGGGGATGATGATTCTCTTCCAGCTTGCAAAAAAGCTAAATGTGAGGGCTGAAGAGAATGGACCACTCTTCATCGGCACTGCCTTTTTTCCATTTATACTTCATCAGCCACAACAAAAATAAAACTTTTTGTTTGAAATTTTATAGTCAAGCCATTAAAATAATAAATAAAACTTAATAAAGCACTTTACAAAAAGGCCACCAGCTTAATGAATTTATAGATATACTTAAAGAAAAATATTGGTTTGTTTATCTTTTGTGAAAGTGATGAATATTTTAAGTCTAAAACTGTTTCTTGTTCGTTTAAAAACTAATGCTTTTCTACTTATATACATGGCTTATTATTTTTAAATATTACTAAAGTTATTTTGAGGACTATTAAAGCATATTAAAGGGGTGGCTTTTGGTTGATCTATTGTTTCAAGCGTGTCGTTTATGAGGTATGATAAATTCAAGGAATATTTAAATTCTTAAAACTTTCAAAAAAGACACATTGCTACTAACTATAAAGACATGAAAGAAGACTTTCAGAATTACCTCAGAAAGTGGCAAGAACAATGGGCTAAATGTATTTAAAGTGAGGCGGAGTATTTTGAAAGGGGTTAATAGTAATGTGTCTTTGTCTTTTACTGTAATTTCTTAAAATTTAAACATTCGCCCTATATTTTGTTCACCCCTTGCATTCATTAAGTCAGAGTTCTTTCTAAAAGGAATTTCTGTAAAGTTTGTAGGAGAGGGAATGTGTACATAAGATTACTTTGGCCTCTCTCTGTATTCTTGCCTTTGTGATATACTTGAAATAGATTTCTTCCCTTTAGTTGGAAGAAAATCTAGTTGTGAATTTCCCATTAGCTTCATTTAAGATATGAAAGCACTTGACTCAAAAAACTTTGGAAATTATTTTTAATAACAGAATCATGCTAAGTAGAAGTGGTCTTTTTTGCAAATATCTGTATTAATGCTATATTGGTTTAAGGACTCCAAAACATGATAGTGTATAGCAAGAGGTATAACTGAATAAGAAAAAATTTTAATTAAAAAATGCTGTTGTGAGGATCAGAGAAGTTACTGTTTAGAAAACTTTATTCCAATCTAGATGTAGACGTCTAAATAAAATATTAGCAAAGAGAAACCATTAAAACAGTATGCCCAAGTGAGACTCCAGGAATGTAAGGACATTTCAGTTCTGAATCATAGGATATTTCAATTCTTTCTAATGCAATATACTTTATCATTTTAATAGATCAAATGAAAAAAGTCAGAATCTTCTGATAGATACAAAAAGATATTTGATTAAATTTAAAATTCTTTCCTGATTTTATAAATAATACTGAAAACCCTTGGCAAAATGCAAGAAGATTATTGTGTAAGCATATATATATATGCAAATATATGTATATATGTTAGAGATACATACATTTATATTAACCACTTACCAATCCAATTATTTAAATACAGGATGACCAAAAACTGCATATTTTTTATTAAGTCTTTTATATATATATATAGAAGTGACAATTTCATCAAATTTATTCAATAAAAGAATCGACTGGTTGAAATGACACCTGCCCAAGCGATGCTCAGGACAATCAGTACGTAAACAAATGTGCTGCCCGAGTGATGCTTCAGGTAAACTGTTAACTGCTTAAGCATAATGTTGCTGCTGTGTCCGTACACCAAGTCAACCACTTTGTGTGGTGGTTTGTTTGTACTTTTACCCTACTTAAATTTGCCAAAAGCCAGCTGTGCTTATTCACAGGTCTATGCCAGTTTTATTTATATTAAATTTTGCAAGTTAATTTAAAAATTATAAAAATTGATGAACTATTAGAATCAAATACCATCTGATTTGATACTTTAGAAAAGCTAAACCATTAAAAAAGAACTATTAGGGCTGGGGATTTAGCTCAGTGGTTTCACGGCCTGCTACGCAACTGCAAGGACCAGAGTTTGATCCCCGTTACCAAAAGAAAAAAGAAAAAAAAAAACTATTGTCAGAACTGCTCCCCATTTAATAGACAGTTGTGCCTTCTTGTGCATGTCAAGCCATTGCTCCAAGGTAGTGGTGATGTTTAAATAGGTATGGTAATATTAGGTGCCTGGTAACCAGGACTGCTTTTAACTCTGGCAGAGTAGATGTTTTTGCCATCATTGGCCCTTCCATTGATCTCAACTATAGTATGATTCCAACCATGTGAAAAGAATCAGTGGGAAGCCCATCTTCAAAAAGAGAGCCTACCAACACGAAATGGGGAAGATGCTGGTGCTAAATATGTTGTGGAGTCCTCCTGGGTCTATACCTTGAAAAAGGCCAGAACTCAAAGGGTGACACAAAAAAGATCTTAATATTTGCCCCGTCTCATGTTCCTATGTGAAGAGTATGGACTATGAGAAATATGACAACTCCCATCAGCAATGCCTCTCACTAACCACTAAGCTTATTGACCAAGGTCATCCATGACAACCTTGACATCATGGACAAACCACAGTCCACATCATTGGTGCTACCCAGGAGACTTTAGATGGCCTCTCAGAAACTGGCATAACAGCTGTAGAGCTCACACACACACAGGCTTGCAAATATGTCATATGCAAAGTCATTCATGAGCTGAATAGGAATTATGCTGGCATGGCCTTCCCTGTACTGGCCCTCAACATACTAGTCTGTCTGTCTGGAGAAAGCTGCCAGATACAGAATCATGAAGGTGGTGAGAGAAGCATCAGAGGGTATCCAGAACTACACAGAGGACTGAGTTATCTCCTGTAACTAACTGGCACCTGCTCATCTACTTTCAGTATTGGGGCTGGCGTTGGCCTCAACGACCACTTTTTCAGGTTCATTTTCTTGTATGACAGTGGATTTATAGCAGGCCCAGTCATAGAATGTACCTACTAAGGATTAGCAATTCTTAGCTGGTATTATTCTTAGCTATTATTTTTACCTCATATTAGTTGTTAGGCTATTATTTAGGGAAAAAACTAAGGCTCCTATCTCACACCTAGTAAATTCAGTAAATAGTAAATTCAGCTGGATTCAAGATTTAAATTTAAACCAAAGTTGTAAAATACTGCACAGAAATGTATTTAAAAATAAAATGTTGGACTAGACCTAAGTGTGATCATCAAAGAAAACAAAAGGTTTAATTGATTTGTCTATAAAATATGTTCTGTTAGAAAAATGCAACCTAAAAAGTACATTTACAAGGTAAATTCCAAAGAGGTTTAACATCCTTGTCATTTAAGAAATCTTTAAAATGGATACTTAACATGACAAATGCTGTCAATGTTTAACCAGATCCCTTCCCCAGGATAGCATACCTACAGTATCATCCAGATTCTTCAGATGTTGGGTGCTCATTTCATTCTTCCCAGAGCATTCTACTGGTTGACAAGTCACCTTGCCTAGAGATACCTGGGAAGTTTTGTCCCCTCTGAGCTTGGCCCATGGCTAGTGACTGATGCAGGACATTAAGCCTAGCCTTTGACCTCTTGGTTGCAACTTATGCTCCTGAATACCCCAGGGGATTAGGCTGAAGATAGATTTCTCCTGAAACCATATCTTTGCCTCTTCTCTGTCTTGTTTCCCTCATTTCCTTACAAAGCATTCTTAATAAATACATCATTCACACAGGATTCAAAACACCCCAACTTAAAAAATTAAGCTAATAAAGTTTATTTTTACAAGTGTCCAATAAACATGACGATAGTGAACTTTACTGGTCATTAACATAAAAATGAAAAATATTTGTTTTGCTGATCAGGTTGAAAGATAAAAAGATTTATAAAACAAGTATTTTGAAGACTGGGAAAGACAGTAACATGTTGTGGAAGAGGGTATAATTTGATACCCACCTTATAAATGCTTTCTATAGGGGGAGAGAAAGGGAAAAGTATGAAAAAATAAGAAAGGTTATATACATGTACCAACTCCACGTGATGAGTATAATCATTATGTTCTGCAAACATGTACTAATAAAAATTTTAAAACGAAATACTACTGTAAATTAATTCTTTAGAAATAAGTGGTTAGGTACAAATGATACATGGATAGAGTATTCACTTCAATAATGTCTAAAATAATGGGAAAATGGAAACAATCTAAATAATAGTAACAGGATTAAATGATCCAGTGTACATTGAAATAAAAGAATGCTATCTATAAAGATGTGCATAAAGAATTATTCAGTTGAAAAAGTTATAAAAATAAATGTACAGTGCCTACACATAATGTGCAAAGAAATAAAGAATTCCATGGAATTAGGATAATTGGTGATGTTGACTTTCTTCATTCTTTATATTGGTTTAATATTTAATGAATATCTATTGCTTATGTAAGAGAAGAGGGGAAATTCTTCCGTTGGGTGTGGAGAGGAAAGGTAAAAGCAGTATGATAGATATTGTGGTATGGGTAAAAGTAAAGTACAACAGGAACACACTTAAGGGAAACTAACAAAATCTATAGAGTGAAGAATGGCTTCTGAGAAGATATAGAACTAAACTAAAGGAGATGAGAAGAAATTATTCAGGGCATTGAGGTGGACTGAGATAGGAAGACTTCCAGGGAGCTGGCACAATACTTGAAAACTTTACAGCCAATGCCTGGATTCTTTAAGGAATTGAAAATTCAGTAGAGCTGAAATTTAGAAATTGGCTAGAAAAGTAATGAGAGATAAGAATAGAGTCAGGAGAAGCCAGATTTTAAGGATTTTGTAAAGCATGTTAAATTTTCAGTTCATCCTAAGGGAAATGGGAAGCCATTGAAGGGTTTAGAAGAAAAGAGTGACTTCATCAGATTTGCATTAAAAAAAAAAAAAAATCTGTTGGCTGCAACTTGAAAACACACACAAGTAACCCCGAAGGTAATTAAGTAAGCCTGAAAGCCAGGAACCCATGTTTGAGTAATCTAGAATAATGGGCCTGAACTAGGGGAGAGGTGATCTGAAGTAGGGCAGAGATACCTAGGATTGGAGGATGAGGACAGATTAAAGAGCTACTTAGTCAGTGTAGCTGGTCAGACTTGGTGGTTAATTAAAAGGCAACAATGAAGACAAAGTCAAGAACAACTTCCAGGATTCTCCATTGGCCAATGGAATAGGACTCTCACTGAAAGGGAAAACAAGTTACAAGCTTGTGGGCAAAGAGTTGGTTCAGTGGGAAGACAGGAGCTTATCAAAATTGACTGTGTGACAGAAACTTGAGATTTTTCCCTAAATTATTTATGTTCCATATTAGCAGAACTAACCAAGACTTGGTCTTAGTCTTATGAGATTTACTCCATATTATCTCACATGCCCTCCTCCACCTCTTGACTAGTGCAAATTGTTATATGCAGAAACAAAAATTCTTCATTCTTTTTTCCTTTTACCTTCCCAGGTCTTTGGGGAAAAGGGGCTTGAAGA